GTTTATTCTCTATAGTGAAGAGTCTCTTATGGTTTCCCTCCCTCTCTATTTTTTGCATTTCCCCTATGTTCATCTGTTTTGTTTCTTAAATTCTAATGAGTGAAATCACATGGTATTTGTCGTTCTCTCACTTATTTCACTTAGCACAAAACACTAGCTCCATCCATGTTGTTGCAAATGGCAAGACTTCATTCTTTTTATGGCTAATATTCCATTATATATATCACATCTTCTTTATCCATTCATCAGTCAATGGACATTTGGGCTCTTTCTATATAGCTTGGCTATTGTTGATAATGCTGCTATAAACATTGGGGTGCATATGCCCCTTCGAATCAGTATTTTTGTATCCGTTTGGGGAAATACGCAAAAGATGTTTTTATTACCCTGTTTGTTTTAGTTGAATAAACATTTAAGGCATATGCAAAGCAAATGAATATGGAATCTTGGACATATGCAAAGCAAATGAATGTGGAATCTTTCTCCAGCAATAGTTGTCAATCCTGGCTAAACCTAACAATCACTTAGGGAGCTTTCAAGAAATCCCAGTGGCCTGGACCAATTAAATCAGAATCTTTAGGGTTGGAACTTTGGCACAAATACTTTTTCCAAAGACCCTAGGTGATTCCTGTGTTATGGCAAAGTTGAGAAAAACTGTTCCATCGTTTTGTATTTTCCCCAAGTCTTTTATAACATTTTCTCAATCAATATACCTTATTGAACAGCATTTTATGTTAAGCCATTTGTTTGAATTATTTCAAAAGTGGTCTATGTAGTTTTTGTAAGAATAGCAACTCTTTCTGCATTTGTATTTCATTAGCTCATATTAAAATGGCATAAGCAGGGGCACCTGAGTGGCTCAGTCAGCTGGTTGAGTACCTGACTCTTGATTCCCTCAGGTCACCATCCCAGAGTTGTGGGATTGAGTTCCACACCAAGCTCCACACTGAGAGTGAAGTCTGCTTCTGATTCTACCTCTGCCCCTCTTCCCTGTTCATGGTAGCGCTCTCTCTCTCTCTCTCTCTCTCTCTCTCTCTCTAAAAAGAAAATAAATCTTGGGTCGCCTGGGTGGCTCAGTTAAGCTCTTGATTTTGGCTCAGGTCATTATCTCGCTGTTGGTAGGTTTGAGCCCTGCACTGGGCTCTGTGCTGACAGCATGGAGCCTGCTTGGGATTCTCTCTCTGCCTCTCCCCTGCTTGTGTGTGTGCACACTCTCTCTCTAAAAATAAATAAACTTCAAAAAATAAATCTTAATAAAATAAAATGGCATAATCAGAATAATTAGGTCACGGAATTTTAACAAAGAGCTTTACTTAATTGCTTCTTCAGATCAAGGACTATTTAAAATTACAAGACTGAAAAAAAACACTGTTTTAGACTCTCAGTAGCTGACATGATTTAAATTTTTACTGATATAATAAGACTTCTGAACTTACTAGATTAAAATATAATGCTGATTCTTTTTTAAAAAGTACAGTTATTTTCACAAAAATTAAAGGTCCAACAGGCAAGTTCATTCACTTTCCAATGTTTACTTTACTGATCATAATGGAAGAATTGCAGAACTACTTGGTGGAAACAAGCTAAATTATCAGAGAAGACTGACAAATTTTGATAAAAGTAAATTTTGAGTTTTTACAGTCACTGAAATAAAACTTGGGTTCTTGGAATTATTGAAATAAAAACCTCTGGATATGTCTATATGCTTTTATTAGAATGGATCAATGAGCTGAGTAGGAATTGCTGCCTACCCTGCACTGACTGGGGTTGGGGACAAGGGGACAACAGTGGATGCAATATCAATCATGTTTAAAACTGATCAAAGATCATCTTGCTTAAAAAAGATTTAATGTTTACTTATTTAGTTAAAATTACATGCAGTATTTGAAACATATTTTCCCATTCTAAAAGCATAATACTAAATATAAAGCTGATGCAACATTTTAGAATACAAAACACATAAATTGCTTCGTGAAAACAGGCAAAAGATTATTATCATGCATTACAATAGTCTATTATTTTTGTCTGTTTGTAATTGTGGTAGGACAGGATAGTCCTTTGCTTTTCCATACAAGAGTAAGCCTAGGAATGCTTTACTTCCTTCTAGATCTGGCTGCCTGTAGATATAGACCCTTTCCTCTACTGCCTTACTGCCAGTTTCATTAAATACAGTATATGATAGAAGTTTATTAATACTGTACTGTAGTCAACATCCACATGAGCATATACAATGGTTCCCATGCAGAAAAAGATTACATTGAGCCAATAGACAGCAGTAATTCCATTAGTGATAGTGAGAGTCATCCTACACTATAACCCTCCTCTCTCGTCTCCCTCACACCAGCCACAAAGGTTTTCAAAGTGCAGGTTCATTTGTTTATTTTTCTTTATATTTTGTATTCTTTATTATTTCGTATTATAATACAATATCGTTATCATTTTTATATGAATATTTTTGGGTTGTGGAACAAATTATCTGAGTTTCCGTTATTTCCTATGGGGAAATTCACTTTGATATGCAAGTGATTTGGGTTACAAGCATGTTTCCGGAACGAATTAAGCTCACAAACCAGGGCTTTACCGTAAATCTTTTGTTGTTTTAAGCTGCTAAGTTTTGGGGGTACTTTGTTACCCATCCACTGATAACTAATATAGCAGGTGAGTTCTTCTTTTGGGATATTAGAAAAAATCATATGTATCAGTTTTCAGTAACTAACTATACTCTGCTTTTCTCTTTAAAGAGAGAGTCAACAATTAAAAAGTCATTAATGTTGGCAGTTCCCACTTCCTTTCCTCTGTCATTCTCCAACTCACTGAAATCTTATTTTTATTCCCACAATTCTTCTGAAAATACTCTTCTCAAGGCCATCCGTGACTACCCTGCTGTTTAGATATAATGTATACTTTTAATTCCTCCTAATTCCTATTTCTTGAATAACACCATCCGCTTAATACAAACTCTTCTAGGCCTCTTTTCTCATGTCTTTTTTCTCATAAGGGTTAAGAAAACAATAAATTAATAAAAAAAATAAATACATAATACAATTTCAGTATTAATAAATTGAATAGAGAGAATAATGGGATGGGGAACCACTGAGAGCAAAGAAGGGCGCTAGGGCCAGCAAACGACACATTTCACGGCTTCCTCTTTAAACAGTCTTCTTTTAGTGTACATGACACTTCATCACCCTGGTTTTCCTTCAACTCCTCTTTGAAGTCTTCTTCCGCCTAACTTTATTTATTTATTTTAATGTTTATTTATTTTTGAGAGCGAGTGTGAGTGGGGGAGGGGCAAAAAGAGAGGGGGAAACAATCTGAAGCAGGTTCCAGGCTCTTAGCTGTCAGCACAGAGTTCGCCATGGGGCTCAAACCCCATGATCAGGTCGAGATCATGACCTGAGCTGAAGTCGGACGCTTAACTGACTGAGCCACCCAGACGCTTCCCAGCCTAACTTCAAATGCTGATTTTCTTGGGGCACCTGGGTGGCTCAGTCAGTTAAGCGTCTGACTTCAGCTCAGGTCATGATCTCACAGTTTGTCGGTTTGAGTCCTGCGTTGGTCTCTGTGCAGACAGCTCAGAGTCTGGAGCCTGCTCCAGAGTCTATGTCTCCCTCTCTCTCTCTGCTCCTCCCTACTTGCAGTCTCTCCCTCTCTCAAAAATAAATAAACATCTAAAAATTTTTTTAAAAAATGTTGATTTTTCTCAGATTGTTTCTTACTGAACTGCCTTCCTTACTCTACAAATAGTGCCTAGGTGATCTCATTCCCACATCACTTCACATACTATTTCACATTAAAGATCTCTCAATTTCTTCTGGGCATCAAATATATATCATGAAGTTTGTCTTCCTCTCTCCAAGTCACAGGTTCTTCAAAAGTAATATGGGAGGGGTGCCTGGGTAGCTCAACCCGTTAAGCATCTGACTCTTGGTTTCAGCTCAGGTCATGATCTCATGGTTTTGTGAGTTTGAGCCCCACATCAGGCTCTGTGCTGACAGTGTGGAGCCTGCTTGGGATTCTCTCTCTCTCTCTCTCTCTCTCTCTCTCTCTCTCTCTCTCTCCCCCTCCACCACTCATGCTGTCTCTGTCTCAAAATAAATAGACTTAAACAAATTTAAAAAAAAAAGAGAAAGTAATGTGGAAAAAATCAGTATGGGCAAAGTTACAATAAAACTTGTTCCCCCCTTTGGAAAGTCCTATCTACATGAATACCATCATCATTCACCCTGCTATACAAAGCAACTATCTGGGAATCACTGTTGACGCCTTTCTTTTCACCATTTATTATATATCCAAACAATTTCCATAGCTCGTTGATTTTATTTCTTAAATATTTTTCATATATCCTCACTGTCTTTGACCCAACCGCCGCTACTTCCCTGGCTCAGGCTTCCACCTGCTCCCTCCTGGACAACTAGAACAGTTACCTAACTTGACTTTTGCTGCTTGCTCTCAACTTCAATCCACTCTCCAGGCAGAAGACAAAATCCAACAGTTGTCACCTTATTATCCTCTTGATACCTCTTCACCAAGCACACAAGGCTCTTCCTCACTGAACTCCGGACTACATTTCCAGCTTCATCTCCTGTCACCGCCCCCCTTGTCTGCTCTAGTCATGCTAAACTTGGTTCAGTTCTTGGCCTACACTCGGCTCCTAGCATAATGCTTGGGTAAAAGTGGGAGTTCACTAAGTATGTCGACTGACTGAATGAAGGAATCTTTGGAGAGTAGTTATTCCTTGGCGAGTGGAGAGGAAACGTAATGTGAGGGAGGAGTAAGGTAAAACGAAAGGATTTTCGCCAGAACCCGAGTGCGCACCCACCTGCCTACAGGAATGTAAAGGGTATCTTATTTTCGTCGGCCGCAAGGCAGAAGAGATTAAAGGCGAGTATGGTGGAGGTAAAGTGATAATGAAGCGGGAAAGTGAGAGGCAAGACTCACATAGCCATTGGTCCAGATTTGAATGGGCTGTTTGAGAAAAAAAGTAAGGTTTTCTTTACCTCCGTGTGGACTCCGCTCTCCGGAGGCGAAGAGGGTCTTCCAAACCGGTCTGTCTCGCTGACAAAAACCCTAACATCCTGTCCCTTCACACCGGCTTGAACACCGGACGCCGCCATGACAGAGCGCGGAGGCTGTACCAGTGGGGTCTCCCATTGGTCAAGCCAGATGACACCCGACCAATGGTGAGCGCCGTTACTAGAAGGGCGTGAGGCTAAAGTGGGTGGGCAGGGTCCGCGGCTAGAGAGCGCGTGTGTTTGGGTCCTGGCGGATCCGTCTGAGATTCGCGCTGAAAGCCGTACTGACTGCATGGGTTGGTCTCAGGATTTGTTCCGTGCCTTATGGAGAGCGCTGTCAAAGGAAGCGAAGGAGCAAGTCGGCACAGACCGGTTCGGGAACAAATACTACTATGTTCCGGAATACAGGAACTGGAGAGGTGAGATGACAGCGAGCGCAGCGGCTGCTTGGTCAGTAAATAAGGGGAAAGTGAGAGCGTCTAGTCAACTAACACAGTGTGCGACAGTTGTGATGTCATCTAGGGGGACAGCGCAAGTTCGTTCACCTCGCCAACCCCTTCACTCTGAGCTTTGCGCCGCGGCCCAGTCGAGTGTGTGCCCGCCGTCCCTGGGTTGCAGTGCCTTGGTAAGGTGCGACCCGCGAGAGCACCGCACAGCATACACAGCTGTCCTCCCCACGCAGAGAGGCCACAGGCGGAGGACGCCCCGGCCCTGGTCCTGGTCTTTCGGCGACGCAGACAGGGACAAGTCCACGGAGGTCTTTTACCAGAGGGCCTTGGGAGGGCAGGAAAGTAGCTTTTCCTCCTCTTGTGCTCTCCTTGCTATCAGGCCAGCGTTCTCTAATTGAAGCGGTGTTATCTTGAGCGCCTCAGCTTTTTCCTCTTGGTGTTTACCTTTTTCAGCCGCTCGGGCGCTGGCCACGTGCGTCACCTTATTCCAACGTATCAGAAGTAGGTCTCTGCGCACCGTGAAGAGATCCTCACAAGGCTTCATGTTACCTTCCCCACGAATTTGCACTCCAAAACCCCGTAGAGCTCACTTTAAGATCATTGCACTAGCCGTGGTGTTTCTTAAGATTCATACGAAGTAGTGGAGTTTGGAAAGTTAGGGGACGTTCCTGTCTGCTCAAATCCCGTCACGTAGCAGCCGTGATAACCTCTTCAGTGTTGTTCCATCATCGCAATGCGAAAGATCTCAGGTTTTGGGGTCGGATGGGCTTGGATTAGAATTTCAGCCCTGACACCTAATAGCTGAGGGAACACGGACGAAGTATTTGTCCTCCCAAGTCTCATTCTCCTCATCTGAAAGTTAGACACGATAATAATGGTTGCATTGAGAAACACTAAGAATTTTACTAAATTGTGTTCCATTCATTTCTTTTAACTCTAGTCAAAGGGAATTACTTCTTCCTTCCTTTCTCTTAGAGCACATGTAAAGTGCTTTCCATGATTTATCACTCAAAGTTGTTTTGCCTAGCCTTTTTCTGTAACTTAGCATCTTAGACTTGTTTCCCAAGTGAGCTTCCAGACTCTCAGAGCAGGGAATATGTCTTTATTTCTTTTTTTTTTTTAAGTCCACAAAGAAACTACGTAGCATGTTGACGGTCTTTCTTCACGGACTGCAAGCAGAAGGAAATATTTTTCTTTTCCATAAGTTGTCAGGAACATTAAAGAAGTATGCAGAACATCAGTTGACTTTTTTAAAGTATAATTTACATACAGTAACACTCATCCTTTTTGGTGTGTGGTTTTATGTTTTTTGATAAATTCATAGAGTCCCGTAGCTATCACACAATGAAGATATGGAATGGTTCTGTCACTTCCCAAATTCCCTCTACCCCTTAGAAGTTCATTCCTTCACCCCATAACCAGCCCTTGGCAATCACTGATCTGTTTTAGGTCCCTATAATTTTGCCTTTTCCAGAATGTTATATACATGAAATTACATAGGATGTAGTCTTTCAAGTCTAGCTTATTTCACACAGTATAATACAGTTAAGATTCATCCATGTGTCTGTAGTTGTTCCTTTTAATTGCTAAGTAGTATTTCGTTGATGGTGTACCACAGTTTATCCATTCACTACTCAAAGGACTTGGGTTGTTTCTAGTTTTTGGTGATTGTGAAGAAAGCTTCTATAAACATTCACATACAGGATTTTATGTGAATCATTTTCCATTTTTCTTGTGTAAATACGTAGGCGTGAGATTGCTGAGTTGTGTGCATGTGTATATACCTTTATAAGAAACTACCTCACTTTTCCAAATTGCCTATACTATTTTACATTCCTGCCAGCAATGTTAAGAAAATTCTAGTGACACATCCTCAGTAGCACCTGGTATTGTCAGGTTTTTGTTGTTGTTATTACTTATTTTTATTTTATCCATTCTATTAGTTGCATAGTGGTGTCTCTTTGTGGTTTTGATTTTCATCTTCCTAATGACTGATAATGTTGAGAATCTTTTTATGTGCTTATTTGGCATCCACAGATCTTTAGTGAAATATCTGTTCAAATCTTGCGACCATTAAAAATACAGTAAAACCTTAGATTGGGACTAACTTGTTCTGCAAGTGTTCTGCAAGACAAGCAAAATTTCTAATAAATTTTAACATGATAAATGAGTGATGCCTTGCAACATGAGTAGTACATGATGCTGAATGTCACATTTTCACAACGCCAATGGTTCTTGAAATTCGCTTTGGTATGCAAGTGCTTTGCGTTACAAGCATGTTGCTGGAATGAATTATGCTTGCAAACCAAGGTTTTATTATAATTTTGTATCAACTTCATTGTATCATTTCAGTGAAAATATAGTATCATTGAAGAAAGATTAAAATGTAAAAAATCATGTATTCTAAGAACATAATTAGTGAGTCAAGGGATATGTTGGTCTTTAACCATCTTATAACACCAGATTGTTTTCCAAAGTGCTTATAAATTTATACTTATATCAGCTTGATATTTCAAATTCATGTACTCTTGGTTGTGAGAAAATTAGGATTTTATTGATGATGTAGGAGAATCATTGTATGCTGCTATATGATATATCTGTGTCATTCAGTTCTTAGATATTTTAGGCCTGTGGCACAGATACACATTACATTCTCCCAATATCATTACACATTTCCTAAGCCTTCCACTGTAAATCAAGGGGAAAGATCCTTAGTTTGTTTTAAAGCAAGTTTTCAGAAAATGAATCATTGAACTTTCTTATTTCCTTTGTATAAAAGACAGCACTTTAGAGGTCTCCTTGAGTTTTCGTTGAATTGAATAAATTGTTGAGCATTTAACATGATCACTGAAGAGTATTTAAGAACTCTTCAGAGGAAATGACTTTTTTCTTTTAGTTCAGTTAATTAGTGTGGTGCCAGTCATTAAAGAACTACTGTATTTTCCACATAGGATATTATTTAATGAGAGCGAAGATAGTTATGCAATTTAAAATAGATCTCTTGAGTATTGTCCAGTCAGTTGAATTTAAGTTTAGAATTTATTGTTGAAATTTTAACTTTTTAAAACGCATTTTGGCATTTCAGGATAAGAAGATTGTGAATATAGCATTATTAGTTGGCATTTTTTAATTAAAAGATGTTAATTAACATATTTTTATTTAAAGTTTGCTTGCTTTATGATGGAGTACTTAGCAAAAGAGTCCCCAAATAAACTTTGTGTAGAAATTTCCTTTGATGTTGCACCCTTTTTATTTATAGTGTCTCTGCTTTTTTATCCATCTAGTTTCATTTATCTCGTGTTTCAAAAGGAGTTTCTTCCTAAAGTAAATTCTTGTATACTCAATTCTGATTAGAACCTCTTTGAACCTTGTTTTATTATTTTCACCTTTTATCTTTTGCACATTTATTAAAAATCCGCAACCGGTTAAAAATGACAAGTTTATTACTGAAAGACTATTTTTGAGTTGTTAATTTGCTAATAGACATTGTGAATGTCCAAATTTGGGGAGGAAGATGAATATCATGCATAATTTGCAAAAAACAATATTTGTGAAGTATTGTGTTTGGCTCTGGATATCACACTTCAGGAGAGATCCAGAGTGTCCAGACAGAGGTAGTGAAAATGATGAAAATTTCTAGAAATCATATGTATGACTATTAGCTGTGAGTCTTGAGGAGATTTATCCTGTGAAGAGAAGATTTAGGAGTAGCTTCACATATTTGGAAGATTGTTGTACAGAAAAAGATTAGGCTCATCTGTGCAGACATTTAAATTAGAACTCAGGTCAGAGGGGACATGTTTATCTTTTTTATAAGAAATAACTTTCAGACCATTTGAGCTATGTTATAAAAGGAAGAGAGTGCCTTGTGTTTAATTGTAGCCGAGAGAATTTAGGGAGATAAGGAGCTGAACACATTTGATCAGCACCTTGAATGATAAATACAATTTCAGAAAGTATGGTTTAAGAGCATCCTTTGTCTGGGCTTGGAAGGGGTAGGAAATACCACGGACATTAGAACTAGAGAAAGCTAGTGAGGGGATAGACAGGGTCAGATACTAAAACGCCTTGAATACTCTAAGTTTGAAGTTTGCACTTTATTCTGTAGCTGGTAGGTAGCCATTGAAAAGCTTGTGACATGATAAGAGCTGCTGGAGAAATAACTCCAAAAGCCCTGTAGAAGGTGAGCTAGAGGGGAGAGGGAGGAGCTGAAATACTATTTGATGGGAGCATTTCTAGATTGACCTTGATCCTGGAAAGAGCTCTTATGAGACTGAAGTGATGTGAATGGAAAGAAAAGTTTTGATTTAGCAAAACTTTTAAACTTGACAATGACTTAGACTGGTGGAAGGGGAAAGAAAAGATGAGAGGCCAAAGATGATTTTGTTTTAATTCCGGAGAGCTGGTGGATTGTGGTGTACTGATTCATGCAAATAGAGGCTAATAGGGACACATGCAAATAGAGAAGTAGGCTTTGGATTGGGGGTGGTCAAAGAGTAAATGGAGTTTGTTTGTTATAATAGGACAACTGTATAATCAGGCAATTTTATATTCAGATCTGCAGCTCCAAAGATGTTACTGATTAAAATACAGATTTGGAAGCCACTTTTATA